ATAATATTTAAATTATATAATGTTAGCAAACACTTAGATTTTAATAGATTTAAAAATAAATATGGATAGTTCTATTCACTGTTATCTCGGCAAATTTCCCGTAAATTTATAATATGTATCTTGTGTGGCGTAATCAATCTTCTAGTTTAAAAATAAAAAAATTAATTTTTAATGGTAAAACATCTATGATATCTTATATAGAACTACGGTTTGTTTGATTATGATATGTGTGTGAACGGAATGAAGATTTATATATAGTACATTATTCTATATTCCACATAATCACATTGAACTTAATATTTTATAAATAATATTTATTTATTTAAACATAATTTGTAAATATTTTATACTACAATAATAGATATAATGTTATAACATATATCTTAATAATCTATAATACATGCATTTTTCATTTGTTGATATTTTTTAGACCCCGTAACAATTATACCAACGCTATCATAAACAGATTTTTTTTATTTTCGTTAATTCGTTTTTTAAATATATTTATATTTTAATCAATTTCACTTCAACGGTTCACGACGAAAATTATTAACACCGCAATACACAGCAAACAAATTTAGTAGACTTTTAAAAGGGCAATAGACTATACTATTCATTTTTATTAATTAAAATTGTTCTATTCTTTGACAGCCTTTTATTTTACACTACTCGACCTTCCAATACTCGAATTTAATACAAAACTAATTACACAATATAATAAATATTGCTTCGTAACTTACGTTTTATCAATATTGTATTTTTATTTTTATTACAAACATATTTTAAGCTCATCAAAAATATAATTATTTATTTGGAGTAAATATCGTAACCGGAACAAAATTATGTCAATTTTCAACTACAACATTTTTATAATATTACTTTATTATTATGCACATCACACACCAAAAAAACTTCCACTTTAAATAATAGAACTGTACGTTACCTCATAAAAATCTTAACCATGTATTTACTAACTCAACCGATGGGGTTTTTAAATACACAGAAACAAAATATTTAAGCAGATGTTTCTATTGGGTCACTAATTTAAGATTAAAAACTAACATCAACGACCATAATGAAGTATAAACATTGATGTAATCATACATTGCATGATAGTATAGAAACTATTAATTTCGATTAATGAATTCTACGTAAATGTTATTAATTAACAATTTGGTATTCGACAATCATTAATTTATAAAAACCTAAAGTAAACAACAATCGTAACTGTTAAAATATAATATTTCGTATGTGTAGAAAACAGCTTTCTACAAAAAACATATATATATAATATATATATAATTGTTGTTTACTTTAAGTTTTATGAGCAACAATAAAATTAACGTTTTATTATTTTATTAGTAATTATAAATTAAATTATACAAAGTTTAACGTGAAAAATAAAACCAGAGCACTATATTAAACATAAAATTATAAAATTATTTGTATATTTGTATATTTAAAAATAAAATGTTATTGATTTTAGTTCATTGTAGAAAGAAAATGTTTACTACAACAAATAATACTATATATTTTAACGTATAAAATGCTTTAACTTATAAAATCAGCTGTATATTTAATACCAAATTATGAAATCTACTTTGCTTAGGATATACAAGGAATTTCACGGTGTATGGACTTTATTCTGATTATAGAGTTTTTCCTGTTTGATATTACTTGATGAAATATCCAAACATAACAGGTTATTGTAATTTAAATATATATTTTGCATTTAGATCACGCATAAATAAATTGAAATACTTGAAAAATATTGAAATTGTTAAAAAAAAAAAAATAGATTTTTTTAAAAATATAATTAATGATATAAGTTTTACGTTAGTTAAAAAATCGTAGATATTAAAGGTTTTGTCGCTATATTTAATTTATTGTTACATACTGTATGTTATTATGTTATTATCATATACCAATAAGAAATATATAGGTATTATTGGTATTATTATTTAATTTATAGGAATGATTTTTTAGGAGTATTAACACTATTTTTTCCACTTTAATCTTTAAGACCTTAATGATAGTAAAATTAATTTTTAGATTATTCTACAGTTTGAACGTAATACTTCTAAATATAAATTGTATACCATAAGCAACCGCGAATTTATAAAACCTCTGTAATATTTTTGACGCATTGTACGATCATATATAATAATACTAAATACATATTATAATCTATTATGTATATATTTAAATGTTATTATTATTATTAAAACTTCGCAGCAATCATTCAACAAAAGTTTTGTGACGTTGACATCATGCCTTCGGCCTTTTTTATTGTGTCCGTGGACAATTGCGAAAAAATGTCCAATACATTGTGAATTGCTTTATGCGTAAAATGAATTAAATTGAAATTTAGTTTTAATTCGCATATCTTTGTATATATCTTTAAAAAATATATATATATTCCTCGTAGTATACTCATTCTTTTCCATTCGAATCAAACTATAGTCACTGTAATAGAACAACTTAAACAGTTTTTTTCTTTTTTAATTAATCAAAATGACACTAGACTTTTACTGTTTGAAGCTATTAAAATAAAAATGAAATTGGAAATTGGTTCATGCCATCGTAAAATAAAATGTCTTATCTTTAATTTTGTCTCATTCGATTTGAAATCAATTGTTTTTGTAATATTGTTGTTTAGTCTAAGTTTAGACGTAAAATAATTTTTATTGTATTTCAACATCGTCACTTTCCATATATTTAATATAATGTGTATATATAAAACAATACATAAATATTAAATTTCATGTGCAAAGTAAAATTATTAAAAAATAAAAGCGAAAAAATATAATACAAATATGTGTAAAAAAATGATGTTATATTCTATCCAAGCATTACATTCGCATGGTGACAAATATAATAGCGAAAAAATATATTGGGTTCTACGAGGATGTAAAGTCACCATTCTAGATCGAGTGTGACAGTTTTTTAATAGAAAATACCAGTGACAACTACACATGTATGAATGTTTCAATTTTTATATTCATATTATTACATTATGAACGAATTAAACTTTCCCAAAATATTCATGTTTGATGGAACTTTACTCTCAAATAAATGATTTTATTGATAATAACTACTTAGGTAGAACACTTTTTATTTTATTGTTACATTAAACATAAAATTAGTCGAAATCCAATAAAAACGCACACAATATACCACAAAATCGTACAATTTTAATCTTAATTAATCAAATGTACACAAAATAATGTAACAATTTTAGTCCTAACTAACATCGAAATAGAATCTCTCAGAAAGACTGAAAATTACACCACCGTTATTCAGAAAATACATGTTCATTGACATTTTATTTAATTTTCTAATTTAGATTTAATGTCTTGATGTAAATAAAATGTTAATCCCAATAGTTACTCCAGTTGTTTTTATTGATCATGTATTTTTTTTGTCTTCAGGCTTATAAAAAGTAATATTTGCAACATATGTGTATATTGCTTAATGTATAAAACCTTGCTATATAACTTCTATACTTATTTAAAATATTTTAAAACTTAAAATATTATTTCAACATATTCATTGAAAAAACCATTATTTAATAAAAAGAGAAAACTTGAACGTTAATGTTTAGCATTAAAGTTGTAAAATATTATGAATTATTTATACGCACTGTAGTTTTTCCTTAGAAAAACAAAATTTAATATTCAAAATTAGTAATTATTTGTATTTTCCTACGCTAGTCGATATTTCTTATGGTGATCGATAAAGTACACACAAAACAGCACTTATATTTAAGTTAGCGTTTATATTTAAACCAAATAAATTTTAATAAAAATATATGATAATATAGTATTATATTGTATATTATGATTTAGTCAATTTTAAATTATGTGCATAGAACAACGCTTTGAAAATAATACATAATAAACACAGAATTAATAAAATAGTTATTTTATTTCATAGTTTCTGTGAAACGTAAATGGATATAATTATTATTAGTATTATTATTTACATTGAGTGAATTCATATGCATTTTTTTCTTTTAAGTACATCATTATTATATAATCAATAACATAATTGTATATACACATAAATAGATGACCACATTAACTATTCGTACATTTATTAAGCAAATAATATTAGTAAATAAAGAGATATATTTAATTTTAAGTATATATGCCAAATATGTAAGTATTTATTTTCTAATCCTGTAGTTTCAGCAATGAATAAATCAATAAAATAAAATAATATTACCGGTGCTTTACTACACATCAGTAGTAAAATATTAAATTTCATTTTCGAATTTATTATTTGTTAAATAACCATGATTTCTATTTGCTTTAATTTCAGTTACCTATAATTTTAAAGAGTTATAACACGCTGTACACATATAACATACAATATTTTATTCAATTATACTGAAATCCACGTTACTCATATACGTTTATATTATCATACTTGGATGTATAATTCCAATGACATTTGATACTGGATAAATGAACTCACGACAGTAATGTAGCTAATTTGCCTATCCAAGACGCCGGCGTCAGTGTGGCGCTGTAGTTGTTTTATTGCCAATATAATATAATAATATTATCAAGCATAATATTTTTAGTACACCAAGCGTGAGATAATTTTGGAAACGTTGAAATCCCGTCTTATAGAGATATTTCTTAGTTTTTTGATGAGTTAAATACTTAATTTTCGAAATTAAATAACGAAGGCTTGTATATAACACACGTTTTATAAAATACACTTCGATAACGTACGTACTTTATAGTTGTTAAGTCGTTTTCTCGTACTTATATTATGACGTGTAAACAACTTATAAGGTTAATTATTAACTTTTAACTACTCCATGCATATTATCACAAACTATTCTATCGTATTTATTATTATCCGGTTACATATAAACTATGCTGCTCAAATATACAACAGTAATTCGAACGACACTAATATTAATTCACAATCGAACCTGTATACAATTATAAAGTAAATAGCTTTAAAAATTTTTATTTTCATTTCAGAACCAACTACTGAAATACTGGGAGGTCCAGAGCTGTTCATTGATCAGGGTAGCACGATAAACCTCACCTGCTTGGTGCAGTTCGCACCGGAACCTCCGCCGACCGTTGGCTGGACGCACGAAAAACAAGTGAGTGGAACAATTTACGTTCTATTTTCGACAACATTGACTAAGAAGAATGGTCTTTTTTGGATTTGGTTTTTGAAATGATACGTTTTGCTACATGTTTTTTTTTTTCATGTATGTGTGTGTGTGTGTATGTGCGGTTCACAGCCCATAAATTTCGATTCTCCACGAGGCGGAATAAGCCTGGTAACGGAAAAAGGGTCAACCACCAGCAGCAGATTATTAATTCAAAAGGCGTCGTCTTCAGATACTGGCTACTACTCTTGCGATCCGTCAAATGCAAATTCGGCCACCATCAGGGTTCATATATTAAACGGTTGGTTGCCTTAAATTATACTTGAAAATACATAGACAGTGGACTATTTTATTCACATTATGCCCCGTTATTATATATCCTATTTGGGTCGTAATTTTTTTTTCGCTCGCAAAAATTAGACAATTGAAAAATTATGAAGATTATTAAAATAAATGAAGGTACGTTTCTAAAAATAAAAAATAAAAACTCAGGTCCCCGGTAGTAAAAAAAATAAACCATACACGACGTCGAAGGGGTGGTAGAAATTTTTAAACTAGGTTATAATTCATAATATAGAAAAGAACATTTCAGAGCTAAACGAGGTGTGCGTATGACGCGTGTTTATTATATAAGCGTATGCGTGTTCACCTTGGTGAATAAACTATATATCCGTAGACCTTTTAATTTCCTTACCGATAAATTCAAATATACGAACATTAAATTTTAAAGATAATAATAAACTAATAATTATTGGTCGTATTTATAATAATTAACTATACAATAATAATTTACCTCGTTTAATTAATGACCACAGTTATTGAAATATCAAATATATTTTTTATATTTAAAATATTATCCGTTATAGATAGTGCTTATGAATTCGTAATATTTATAATTTGAAAAAAGATATGTTCAATAAGTAAAAATCCCTCAATGAGTATATCACTATTAATGGATGTGTTAAATTTAAATTAAATAATAAATCATTATTTATGATAAAAAAAAATTATTCTAAGCGGAGACAGACTGTCAGCCAATAATGCTTCTACACACATTTTATAATAAATATATAATGCTATAGATATAGTAATTTATTTTTCAATTAATAATACAATAGATTGAACTAGTTTTTGACCAAACAAAAAATGCATATGATATATTATAATAATTATTTTATTATTAAATTATTTTATAAAATATCTCTAACGTTTACTATATAACTTACAAATCAATAACGGCATACCATTAAACGGTATAAATAGGTTCGTAGTATAAATTAACAGCACAGCTTAAAATAAACCAAAATATTTCGAGAATTTCATGCTATACAGTCAACAATATAATTTATAAATTTGTTAAAAACTTCAAATCCTAAGAATAATACTATTTTAATTAACAAGAAACTCATTCATGTGTGACTTTTTACTTACGCAACACCTATTATATTCTCTTCTTATACTTAATATGCACTACAAAATAACTTGAGTTTTAATTTTTTGGTTAATTATCCGATTTCGTTGAAATTTTAGTACGACATTTCTTTAAGAAGAATTATAGACATGTATTTTTAATGTTTTAAATTTATTGCACGAAAAACTATACTATATTGATAAGCTTTAGTTTTTTGAAATAGAAAGTTAAATTAATTTTTGAGTAAAAAAATGATTTGTATATTTTCTTTACTTTGGCGAATTTCGTAAAATATTAAAATGTTGATATCATCGTTTTTATTTAAGATGAATTTTAAACACCGCTAAAAAACCGATACATTTTTTAACTTATCGTTCGACTTAAATATTTTCTTGATGCGCCAATATTGAATTTTCGTGTGTTATAAAAATCTATAGCTATTATACAGAATATTTAATACTATGATATACTTTTTTTTTTCCGTTTAATCAATTCAATTAGAATCGAATATCTCTTCGCGGAGATTTGAATAACCGCATCTAGACACTATAGAATCGCCGCGCGTGTGGAGTATACTTAAACCACCAGACCAAACGCGTATTATACACACGTTAGTAATAAATAGTAAGGATGCCGCCGGTTTGGCGGTTTAACAACGACGACGACAACAACAACAATAATATGATGATGATGATGCAGCCGACCCTCATCCTCGCAAATCATTATTATTATTATTATTATTAATATACAGACGCGTGACACGCAATATAATAATAATATACGAATTATAGCCGCGGCGATGCGCCTCGCAACGATAACAATAATCTCGCGCAGAGTTCAATCCCATTGTTGATGTGTACACAATTAATCACAATTGGTTACTGGATAATAACATAACGCCTATAATACACTGTGTATAGGTTCCTGTGTTATTATTATAATAATAGAGCACGCCGAAGAAGAATGGTTCGCGTTCTGAGCTGCCGCCGTAGGTCACATGATATATTGTGTACGGCAAAATATACGCCGTTGCGGTGCAGGCTATTGTTCCTGCGTTGCAGTGGTATCATCGGCGATAGTAACAACTAATAACTCTTAACGCGTAGAAAAATATAATACGATATCCCGTCGAACCGGTAAATAACTTCCGCCGTCGTCCGTCCGCGACTGTCGTAGGTCTAACCGATCCGATCACGATAACCGCCAGTCGTCGCGGCGTAGGTATACTATCATAATAATACGCACTATGCAGTACGATGTCCATAATGATGAGGGGATGGATGTTTGTTCCGGAACGTCTCGGCTTGGTAACATAACAAAACGCCAGCATATTATAATATTTAATTAGTTTAAAATAACTGTTCGAAACGATAGATCGACAATAAATTACCAACACCGCATAATATATATTATAGTTTGAAGAAATCGGTCATTAATTAAGACCACCACGAACTACAACACGAGGTTGTTTTGTAAGTGCAATTCAAAATAGTTCTAAATCTCGACTACGGTTATTTGACAAACTGTTGTGTAATTAGTACCCCCGTTAAACGTGTTGGAAATCAAAACGTTAATGAAGTATGATAATTTAAACATAATAATCCATCAATGTATGATTGAAGAAAAGACAAACCCTAGCGTGATTAGAAAAAAATATGTTATGAGAGAATCCAGTAAATAAATTATTTACTCATTGTTAAAAATATAATATTATCAAGACTGATAAGTGATTCAGGGAGACGTATCTCACTAACAAACGCACTAGTATGATGAAGAAGAGAGGAGCTTTTAAATTGTATCTCCTGGGCATCAAATTACTCAACGTGAATAATGGTTCAACGATAATAATATTATAAAACAATTAAATCTTATAAAAAAAAAAAAAAAAAACAACAACAAAGCGAAACCGAGAAAAAACCAAAGGGAGAAAGTAGGTAATCGCTCTGTTGCACCGTAATTATCGAAATAAATGTACCACGTCATTGAGTAAGTCATTTCGATGCGTAGGTATGCCGTGTTAAATTTGAATTCAATGATAATCATTACACACGAAAGACGATTCTTAGCGAATGCGTTAAGTTTCTAATCCCTATAAATAATATTTTTGAACTACGAAAAACTTAAATCATTATTCTTCGTTTAAAATCTATAAACATATTTTAATTTTGATAAATTTTAAATTTAGAAATTTTATTTAAAAAAATATTTAGTTTATTTATTTTAGATTTTTTTGATTTCAGTATCAACTAAATTACGAGAAACTTTGTATTACATTGTGTACATAGCTATGACAAAAATTGAATATTTTCAACTACGAAATAATTTTTAATTATTATTAATTTTAGATGATTTCATCGAAATTCTAACTTCAAACGCATATAAAAGTATATTGTAAATATGTATTTTCGACATTTTCGACATTTTTTAATTGATTTATTAAAAAACTCGTAAAAAACACTCTATTACATTTTAAAACATTATTTACAAGAGCAAAATTTACTCTCGTGTATTTTTTATACTAGTTTTATGTGTATACAACTAGTGTTACATTTATATAGTCGACGTGGTTTCGTATTGACCAATAGAAAAAAAAAAGGGGAACTCCCACAAAATCCGAAATCAAATTATCATGAATATTTAATTAAATCGTTATGTGGTTTCTAGGTGAACATCCGGCCGCGATGCACCACGGCCAGGGCAGCATCCCGCTATGCCCGCCGATTGTCAGCGCCATGATCGTTCCGTTTTTGCTCATCTTTACTGCCAGAGACCTATAGTACCGACAACGTACCCGAAATATTTAATATTAATAACATATTATTATATTATATTTAAGTGTAATAACATAACGATACATAGAAGGAAAAATGTTTCTGATTTAAATGTAAAATCCTATCATAATAATATTATTGTATAGATATTATAATATTCTCTAGTGTACACTCGTCGAGCAATACGCTCAACAACGTCGACGATGCAGCGGACGATTTTGACATAAGGTTTTATGTTTTCTCTTGGGTCACTTACGTATATATATATATTATATATATTATTGCATCGTCGCATACGCGTGTCCATTTTGTTGAGCTGCTGCGCACACAACACACAAGTATATATTTTATTAATAGTATTAAAATACCACGTCTGTTAATGATTTTTTTTTTTTTCGTTACCCAAAAATAACATTTTTATATAATATTATATACCCACCTAAATGTGTATAATAATGTATAACATATTATATTTCTTTTTGAATTGAATAAATAGCCCCAAACGTACTTCGCGTTTATTGTCGAACCGCGCACTTCCGTTCAACGTCATAAACAAGTAAGTGCTACATGCGTAATATGATATGCCACCGATAACGTTTCATCGTAATTATTCATCTATAAAATTGTACTTACACAAAATAATTTCCATAACATCAGTTGAATAACTTAAAACGTACAATTGCCTTGACTACCCACTGCAACACAATATAATAAACTCCGTAGGTAGTTAATTCCCACGTATTCCGACATAGTTCAATAAACATACGTTCAACTATTAATTGTATTTAGGCACTATTGACCAAAAATCCATTCAGAAATTAATTTTTTACACTTCAAAAATGAAAAATATAAAATATTTCTAGACATTTCAAGATTCTTATACGGTTTTGAATGTATAACAGTTTTCGAATTATATAACTACTATATAATATTAGTATTTCATTGATTCGATCTCATATGTAATAAACAAAATTTTACTTTTGTATTGAAAATAAAACTAATTTTGATTTTGTTCAAAGATACCTATCATTACAGTAAGTAATTATTTTCTTTGCATTTTTTTATAAATCAAAATATGAATATAATCTAAATAATAAATACACTAGATTGACACTCACAAGCCATGTCTTGAATATTTAGCGTTGTACGTATTAATAATAACAATATAATATTCAATAAATTTAAAAATATGATGGCAATACCTAATTTAAACACACCACTACACCAAAATATAAACGTTCAGTGTAAATCATATAGTTTTTCAATAATAATTACTATTAAAATATAATATTTTACGCAGTAAGTATATTATGTTAAATTTAAAACTATTTGTTTAAATTATATTTAAAAAAAAATTATCTAAAACAATTTTTTAAAAAGATCTTTGAGTAATAGGTACACAATTATATCATAGATATAACCAAACAACTCAAATAATGTGGAAGGAAAATAATAAAAATTTCTTACTACTAAATTATTGAGTAAGATGTAAACATTAAAATCTGTTAGAATAGTGTAAGACACTTATTTATAAGTATTTATAAAAACGTAAAATAGGTCTATATAATAATGAGTAATGACTTAAGATTAACATGCCTGATGCAATGTAAATTTATGTCGTTGTTAAGTCTTAGTTCACATTTATTTCCTCTAATTTCTACAATAGATCATCAGAATGTCGTTAATGTGGTATACATACTTTTCGGAGTTCCCCTTAAATTAGAATCTTAACTATACCAATTTACATATCACAGAAATATAATTAGATTATAATATAATGCTGTATAAAAAAAAAAGACCGTTTCTATAGTTAATTATGATTTGCCAATTTAATCTTGTGATTTTATATAAATTATATAAAACACAAGGACATAAAAACTGTAAAAAATTTTTACCTTTCATTAATTATCAATATAAACCTATACGATTTTATTTAAACCACTTAAACAACTAGCAGCCTAAACATTACTATACCGTTTTGTTGTTTCACCATAATTCATGCAATAGAATTTTTGTGACTCAAACGACAAAGTTTTTACTTTTCGAGTATCTAAAAATCATTTCTTACAATACATAAACTTACAACATATTTGTTACACAAATTATAATAACATTATATAAACCAATATAATATATATAGACATACTGTTTTCATTGTCGTCAAGCGTTATTATTATTATTAGAAAATTTTTGTTTTTGTTTTTATTTTTAACATAATATTATAATGTTTGTTAGATTAAATTAGAATGAAATACACAAATAAACACACACAACACACAGGGTTGTCACGCCAAGAGAATAAAAAACGATTATTTTATTTATTTATAAATAAAAACAGTTTAACGATTGATACTAACTTATAATTTATAAAATATATTTATTTGTTTTTATTATTATTATTATTATTATTATTATTAAAATTATATAATATTTATGATCTGTATAAAATAAAGTTACTAGCATAAAGTAAATAACATTATATAGTATAGGTATTTTTTTTCTAAATACGCCTCAATTTAATTTAGATTATGTCATTATGATCAAAAGATTATAAATTATATTATATACCTAGTTACCAGATATTATACATCAGTATTTTAAGATAATATCCAACTTTTACTTCACCATAATCTATATTTTCAACTTTTCACGTCCAGTTTTCTTATAATATATATCATCTTTGATAAGTCTGAATTATACTTGAAAAAAACGTTTAATTTCCAAGTGACAGCCAATATGAAGAAAACTTTAACACTGTGTTTCGTTAAAAAAAAAAATAAAAGTAATAAGTTACCTATAAAATTTTAAAATGTGTATAATAAAAAAATTTTAAATTTGTTTTTGTTTAAGAAAACTAACGAGTTAATGTTTAGTATTTATTTTGTACTTACTTGTTTATAATATTAGGTTTATATAATTGCATGTATATACACACACACATATATATATATATATATATAATTTAATATTATTGTACAGTAAATCTTATCTTCGTTTCATTGAATCAATATTTGTTGTACCCAATTTAAAAATATTTATCAATAAACATATTTACTCAATAGTCATTATTGTAAATCATATTTTAATATAAGGTAAATAAGTAAAAATTGAATCATTAATATAAAATAAGATGACTGAATTAAATGAACATTCAGCATGAAACCATCATAAATCATTGAAAACATTACATTTTTAGAACCAGCCACCTGCTGAAAATTATACGATGAATGTATCTTTAGCTAAACAAACAACAAATATAAACAATTTAAGCAGACAAAAGTACAAAACCGTAAACTCAATGAAGTCCTCCTAAATAACAGGTATGTACGTCTCCGTGTTTATATACTTCTTTGGTATATGCATAGTAATTTTACTCTGTATTTTACACGTTATTAATTATTCATTTTAATCCTACAAAATGAATTTATTTAAATTTAAAGTTTTGGAAAAAGTTTAATAATTTTTTGTTTCTAGTGATTATTTCAAAAAATATTTTATAAAGCGTATAAGCACTTAACCGATCACTTCACTTAATTTTCTTTTTCTACCATCATCATAGGCGCGATTCGGAGACTTGGGTGTGCTCTGCACCCTCAATTTTGAAATTAGCAACTTCAAATTTGTTCATGTTGATTTAGATTTCAATAATCAGTATACATGGAAAAACTGAGTTTTTATTTTGTGATTTCGTTTAATCATGTGATGAAACGTTTGTGTTCATAGTATTCAGATGGTAATAAAATAACGTGTAATATTATAATATATAAACACTTCTTATAAAAATATAAAATCAAAATGAACGATTTAAATTTAGATTTTTGATTGTAATTAATTGTAACTTAACGGTGGCGATAACACCCGCTCGGACGGCCGTTCTGCGAAAACATCGATGGGCGCATCCGCAATGTGTGATAAAATAAAACCCAATGTACCTATTATTAATTAGTATAATTTTACTCTTGGAAACGATAACAAATAATTACAATTGATATTATAAATGAAGTGATACATATTTCTGCTTAAAACTAGTAAGTATTTAATAAAATAATGTTAGAGTGCAGAACTGTAAAATCAAATTATTATATAAAAAAAAAATAATGTTCATGTACCTTGCATTACTCAATAGTTATTAGTTATTACGCTAATTATTAATTTTTAATTGAATTATAACATACGCATTCATACACTTAACATAGTCAATACATGTAAACATTTAATTGTTAAATAGGTTTTGTACGGGTTGCAGATATTCATAACCATAAGAATATAAGATAATAGATAATATAAAAAAATAGAAAAAACTTCACTACCTACATCATCACTGACGATCAAGGCTCCCAATTATAATATGTGAATTATATGGGGTCAGTCATACATATTCTATACCTCTTTATATCCCCACCACTCGCAATTTATTAAATATATTAATTTAAATAATAAATTATTAATCAGAAGTCAAAGCCCTGGTATAGTTTGCAAAATTATAAAAATGTATTTATAATAAATAAATGAGTGAGTACCGCTCTGTTATAGAAAAGAACGCGTTATTGGAGAATTGATATTATTATTATAAGCCTATTCAATGATGCATCATTACCAGAAGCGGTTTTTTCAACTCTATGATGAGGAGAATATGAATTAGGAGTGCTTAGTTGGTAACCATAAGCTGTATGCTAATCGAGTAAAATTTGTGTTAAAATTTAAGAATAAAAAAACATTAAAATAAATTATTTAACAGTCACTAAATACTACAAATTCAAAATGTAATTAGGTTTCAGGTTTATAGACAATAAATTATAAACGATGTTTCTGAAATAAATGAGGTCACTAGTATACGCGTAGGTACTCACTATGATGACACAAAGAATATATATTTTTTTTTTCCATCTTCAAAATCAATTTTCATATTATTTTTAGAATATTATCTTAAATGTAAAAATAAACACTCTTGTTGTATTTTTTTTGCAAAATTCTCATACAAATCGAAACGTCACATCGTTTTGGAGACTATCACGCAATTTTCACGCTCAAATCGTCGACTTAAAAAAAAAAGTAATGTAACACATCGATTTGTATGAGAACACATCAAGATTAATAGTGGTGATAGTTTTTTATCCTAAATTTTTTGTTTACTTTTCTCGATTATAAAATTAACTATTAAGTACTAAGAATTATTAAGTCTGATCTCTCTAAAGTGCAAGCTAGATCCGATTTGATTTTGATATCCAAACCTACCCCAATTTTCGACAATCAAAGCAATTAATGGACAAATTAACTTATCGTGGGCCTGCTCATAATAACACAACATAATTAAATCAATACATTCATCATTCCCCTTAAAATCTAAAATTTAATTTAATAAATTTTAAAAAGGTAGTGAGGGAGTGCAATTCAATTCATTTTAAGAAAGTACCAAAGAAAAATAGGTCATAATTTAAAAATTAAAATTATTAAAAAACTTGCTTAATACTATTGGATATTGGTGTAAAAAAATATAGGAAGAGGTCTGGAGTACACGCAGAAAAATCCAATTTAGAGAAGCCAAAAAAAAAAAAAAAATAAATAAAATATTTAATTTAAAATTGTGTTCAGCTACAAGTCGGAAACTGTAGTCAATTTTGAATTACAAACCAAAATTGTTTTAATACAATTAAATAAATTATTCTAAAGTCATTAGTTTTTTAATAAAGTTTTATTTATTAATAAAATATACATTATATATTATATTATGTTCATAACAATAAACACGCAATTTTTCTCATTTGTAATATCATTATATTGTTAAAATGTTAGCACTACTACAGAACCACTTCCAAGGTGAAATAGTTTTTAACTTTCCTCTAATAGACAGCTTGAGAACCGTAGACTTCAAGATCCTCGGTAAATGGAAATTCGTTTATATATTTTTTCCCCGGATACCTTGATGAGAATTAGCCGTCATTTTTGACGCAATCAATACTGGGTTTTGGAAGGAGACCCCAAAAATAGCGGTGCTGGTGGAGCATTGGATACCATCATATTATTAACGTTACGGTAAAAATCCATGTTTTACAATCTTCTAAGTCCAGAATAGAGTATGTCAATAATATGCGTATAGGATTCATCACTCTCCTACAAATGTAAACACACGAAAAGGTGTTATTTTTATTGTAGGTATAAATCTACCCTAGGACACACTAACGTAATCGGTAGGCAGGGGTATGCCAAAAATATTTTCGGGGGGTTCAATATTTTTACTACCGCGCATTTTAAGTGTATTTATTTTACTAGATTTTAATTTATCGTGTAAATTTTATTCATATAATCAACATGACAGATCGTGTCATATTATTCAGTAGTAATATTAAAAAATAATAATAATTTATGATACATTAAAATACATTTTGAATATTTTATCATCATATTAAGACATTAAATAATATAAAAAAAAAATTATAGAATGAATCCTTGTCTTCGAGTTAATAAAGCGAATCTTCTTACCACTTCAATTAGGACCAACATAAATTTATCTTTAAATTGATAGATGAACTAATCCAATTAACCGATCTTTGCCAGTTGTGTTGAGTAAATGTGTTTTGAGACGCCGTAAAGTAGAAAATTTCACGAACAACGGTCGAAGATCAATCTTATCTATTCTATAGTACTTACTAGGCAGATCGACAATGGATTATATAAATAACTCTGGTCTCTAGCAAATATTACAAATATAAAACTTAAATTGTATACAAATATTAAGCAATACTTTTTTATGAAATTGATAAAAATTAGTCATAAGCTTATGTTCATCACAATTATTAATCAATTTAATTGAAATTTTTATTAAATCATAGACATCACGCTGAATTTCCCCATTTGCAATTTAAATAATTGCTCAAATGTGTATGCACAATTGAAACACAATAACATAAAAAAAAACAAATACTTATTACCATAACTTAATACTGGTCCACAAGGAAGTAAGAAAAAAAAAACAATGTAAAAGTAATAAATTCATTACTCTATTCAATCTGCCTGTTAGAATCTATATTTATGTGAAATGTGACATTTGGAACTACACATGTTATGTGGTATCACATTCTTGTGCAATCACAGAATAAAATAATTTTATTATTTTAGTGCTATGACCTCAACCAATTGTAGTCTTATCAATTTAACCTCGTTTGCTTACATCGTAGCTGAGGAAAGAATGCGAGTCAGTTAAATGGAATGACTCATCAGTGATGCTTTAATAACAGCAGTACCAGTTTTAAAGAAACAAAGAATGAAAGAAAATATGTTCATCAAACTATGAATAAACAATATATGTAGTTTATATTTATTTATAATGTTCATCCCTGAATAACTTGAATTAGTTATTGTTGTAGCTCTGTAAATATGTCATGATATAACAACTCAATAATATTCAAAGTAAAAAAAACTTAAATTTAGTTGGTAGCAATTTCAATGTGCATTTTATTTTATTTCTAAGTAAGTACGTAACATGTAAGTATACATTTCGGTTTCAATTGCATAGCTTGGTTATTAATAAATTATAACGTTAAGAATATTGTATAGTATTTTTTTTAAAAAAATATATATATTAATACTTTTTATGTAGGTAATAATTTTAACCAAATACAATAGTGAATGACAGTATAAAATCTATTTTTGTTTCATTGTAATAAAAACTTCATTGAATATATGCAGGTCCCATTAAGACACTATGGTTGAAGCCAGTTTTGAAATTATTATTTGTATTTCAATAAATTCTCCTTTAATTTATCTTTGTTAGCACCAGAAAACCGAACAACCTAAAAATTAAATATTTATTATAGTTAAATAAAATAAACTAAAATATTTAAATTATATTAATTAATTTTACCTCTGTTTTTGATTTTAAGAAGACGAATGTGGGCATAGATTGGATGTTGTACTCGATAGCGGCATCTTCACATTCATCAACATCAACTTTTAACATGACTACATCAGGGTACTCGTTGGCCAGTTCCTAAATACAAAAATATTATTTTTAGCATTTAATAATCAGACTCAAGCACATAGCTTTTTAATTTCAAAAAAGAGCATCTGGTTCCTTGATATTTTTGCCATAGTCTACAAATAGGTACATAATTCAAATTATGAAAAATGTTTTAATTATATTCAATACCAGCTAACCCTGTGTATTTAGTTGCCCATACAAAATGCATCCATGTTAAATTTGGTTACTTTGCTAACATTTAGTGTAAATTGTGTAAATAAATAATATTTTAGGTTTTCTGATTTACCTAGTTTTGCTTTTTTTTAAAAAAATTTAACAGCGGAATTTTTTCTAAATTATTTTTCTTTTTGTTGAACGGCTCTAATTTGGTTTAATTTTTTTTTTTCATTCTGGACCCAAAATCAACAACTTATAAAATGTTATTAGTGCAACCAAAAACAACAAAAAGTTGTTGTACTATTATATTACAACTATTTACTAATACTAATTTCAGAGGTTGACAGATGAAAAAAAAAAAAAAATAACACAATTTTTCATAAACTTATAGTTAGAAATAGACCTCTTCATGATGTACTTTTTAATTAAAGAAAGAATTAATATAATCAGATGAATAGTTTCAGATAACATGCGTGACACAGATTTCCATTTTTACATTTATACATACAAACGATACACGTAAATCAAAATGTTATTTGAAACTATTAAAAAATGTGATTAATAAACAGATGACTAATACAAATGACATTTTTATATCTAATTTTAACATTTAATACCAAATCATATTAAATCAAAAAACACATTATTTGAAAAACTATTAATATATATATATATTATTTTAACTTAATTTAAAGTTACTATAAAATATCACTTCTGTAAAAAAATATATTTCTTTTAATTTTTTATTGTTGTTATGCAAGTTTTTATTTTTTAACGACTAAGTACATTTTGAATTCTTTATTTTAAAGTATTAATTGTTTTAAAATACTTTGACATATAAAATTTTTACTTTGGATAAAAAATTATAAGCAATTTTACTATATAACGTAGTATTATGTACAAGTGGTTTTACATTAGTAACTTATAGCTTAAAAGCATTTAAAGTTTAAATGAGTGCAGAGGAGTGGCACAGAAATAGCCCACAAAATGTTGGTCTACTAGTCAAAATTGTTATTTTTATACATCGAAATAATCTGAATATTTTTGTGACTAGAAAAATATACCACTAAAAAAAAGAATTATGATGAATGTGGACACAGATTATTTGTCACTTGAAATTCAACTGATAATACTTTATTTAATAAGTCATAAACTTAATAATTACTTCAATGAATGGACCCATCAACTTGCATGGACCACACCATTTGGCAAAAAAGTCGATGATGACTAATTTTTCTTTGGCATCAGTCAATTTAGTAGCCAGATCAGCCTGAAAACACAAAATATACATGAATATTAATAATATCATAGATGTTAAATAATCTGTTAAAAAAATTAATAATTTACAAAACATCATAGACTATTGAAAAGTATAAATAACCTATTTAAAAGCTTTTTAATGAATACAAAATAATTATCAATCGAAAAAACAAGATAATTTTAATCTGAAGCCCGATCTGAAGGGAATTTTAAATTTTGCATGTCAACTGAATGATATAGGTAGACAATATTATAGTTATCAAGTAACTATTTAGTATATTTTAAACATAAAACTATTATTAATTACACATTTTTAAACAAATTTAAATATGACATATACAACAAAATTAACAGAAGGATAATTATTAACATACACTTACACAATGCATAAAAAATTAAATTGACACTGTAACTGCTAAATTATATATTTTTTTTTCTAACAATCAAATTACATAATCTTATCAATACACTCAGGTTCAATGTTGAAGTATTAGATTATGTTGCTATGAATGAAATTAATTGAATATCATTTTCAAATATAAATAAATATATCCAAACAACAAATTGTTAACAGTTTTAAATATAACACTTGAAATATTCATTTTTATATAAATGCAAAAAAACTTTTCTAAATTACCTAAAACATTTAAAAAAATGACATATCAGTACTGAATACAATAATACCTACTGGTTATATCCTATGCTATAATATATATTAAGCAGTTATTGTGATTTTGGAAATACTGATTCGATATATTTACATATATGAGAATATTACACTTTTTCTAGGTAAATATTAATTTAAAATTAAATTTAAGTGCAATGACTTCTGATGGTAACTATACCTATAATAATTATTATTATTATATATATATATATATTAATATTTTCATAATTACAATATTTATATAAATAGAAACATTATCCAGACATTAGGAAATGAAATTTAAAAATAACAACTAAAAGATAATGAGTAAAAACATTAAGTCATGTCATGGCCTTGATAAGATATAATTTATTATTATTATTAAATATTTAACAATAAAATTATTTTAGAATTTATTAATTTAATTATCTCAAAATAAAATAACTCTTAATAATCATATTTTAAATATTAAAAACGTAAATAAATTGGTTTAACCAAACAAAATCATTCAGCAATGATATCATGTCAATTACATCTTGGGTCGAATAGAATAAATAATTAAGTTTTTAGGTAAGCAGTTTGTATTAGCAATTAGGTAGTCTGATATGCACATTAAATAAACTCAACACATCATTATTATACTATTTAGCAAGGTAGGTTTACAGCGTCTTACGTCATCAAGACGACCTTTCAACTTTAAAAGAATATGCGCCATACAGGTGGCATACTAATTAGATAATTCGAAAATTAGAATTTTCGATTTAACGCATGGTATGGTGCTATAGCACTAGAGCTGATACTGTTTATTGTGAAATATGAATAATTCGTTTTAAATTACAAGCGCTGATACAATAATATTACTCCGAGATTCAACAGCAACCGAGAGTTTATCAATTTATTATCCGACGACTGCAGTCCTCACACTCACACTCACCGGGAAACCATAGATAAGAGCATGTCCGTCCAATTGACGCGCACATAGTACACACATACACAAACAGCCATGACCACACAAAAAATGGAAATAATATACATATGTGTAGTATACACACACACACGCGCGATACACGCTTTCACACGACGAACATATCCAAATTAAAAACTTCAATTACCACTGTTGGCGGTCGAGGACAAATTAAATAAAGCCCTTCACCTCACCCAATGAGGTCCTAGCAGAGCGACGACGCGGCGGACTCGAATTCAGGCGGTCGCCTCGTCGCAGCTCGCACGTTAACATAATATTATCGTAGAACAGCAATAGCAATAGCAATAATAATCATAATCATAATATGATAATAATATTAATAAAAATAAAAACGGCGACAACCTCGTTGGATGCGCGCAAAACCAAAACCCGTTTCGTAAACACAGCGCGCGCGTAATTATTAATTTACGGACGACGACGGTAAAAATATTAACGACAACGATATTACGACAAATAGGTAGGTAATAACGATCGTATCAAAATACGCGTCTCGAACAATGAGGAGAAAAACATATAAAAAAAAAAAAAACAGCGATAAGGAACGTTCGTACGAACGAGAATATTATGGACAATGGACGACACAAGTCGTTATACTCACGGCGTCGGTGACCAGTTGGACCATTTTGATCGTTGGTGTAGCGTGTGTATCGAAATACGGATCTGGTGGCGGCGGGTTCACCGGAATAGCAGCGTACTAAATGCGGACAGCGTGAGCGCGGACGATGCGGCAACGGACGGCACGTCTGACGAAGTGTTCGAGCGCTGGGCGGCGCGTTTTCAAGCCGTGGAGCGGCGTCGGTCGATTCGAGCGTTGTCGTCGTCGTCGGGCGGGGGGTACGCGCGGAACAATGGCGACCGCCGATCGGCAGTGCAGCCACGATGTCCGTTTTGTTTGCACGTTTTTATTTTTTTTTTTTTTTTTTTTTTTTTTTTGTTTCGTTCGGACTTTCGTGGCACAATCATTTTATTCGTCCGACGAGACTCGGTACCGGTCCGGTTTCCATTATTTCCAGGTACCGCCGTCGTGCGATACGAATAAACGACGTTATACAATAATAGGAAGTACCTATTAAGTATTTATCGAGTATAAAATAATAATTTTATAATTATTACTATTCATTACGGCGTAACATTACCCCTTCCCCCAATCGATAATAATAATATTATTATTATTAACGTGATGAATTAATAGTCTCTGATTTATAATGTATTGTCACAGAGACCCGTAAGTAATACCTCGGACACTTGACATATCCAATTTTTGACCAGATTGTGTACCCCGTGTAGGTACTTATCACTGATACTATATACCTATTCTGTAATCATATTTAACTTCAAATTGCAGTCAAATTAAACGGATGTGTGAGATCCGTCCACAACTTGAGAACAATCTCGTTTTCGCTCTTTTTTTATGCAGGTGCGTTTGTTAACTAGGAACTTATTATTGTAAAATGTCACCGGTGGAAATATTATACACCGGAAATCTTATGGAATTATTAATCATTTTTTAATTTATGTTATTTATACCTATCTGAAAGCCGACATACCGGGAGCCGTGATGTCATATGTGTGTTTTATGTTTTAATCCATAGGTTCTATCGGTCTGACAATTATATTTTCGACTATATGTGGCTTTTACGTACAGTCTCCAATATTTGATTTGAATTACAAAAATGTAATTTATTAGTGTTGAATTTTACATTTATTTTTTATAACTATCTTAAATCTTAGTCATCTCCAAAAAAATAAATATCACGATTGGAAAATGGTTAAATACGGGTCTGTGTTCATAAAAATTCAATCGACGTTATGGTGACCAATTACAGCACGTTATTAGAAAAATATCTCAGTTCATAGTTCATTTGAACGTAGGTAATTAAAAATATTCATACTTGTCTTTGAACTACCATAAATAGAAACAATTTCAATTTATTTGAAGGTGAATAATTAATTTATGACAAACCAACCCTTGAAGAGAAACTACACCATCTTTTAATTTAATATCTGACAAAATGTTTATATTCCATTTTATTTATACGTTGTCATAATATTAATCAGGCTTGTCTCGTGAGAGAGTATTGAGGTTGTCAACCCACACACCAACTATCACAAAATAAATTACGAGTACAACACTAAAATATACAAGGAATTAATGATGAATCGATAATGGACGAGGTACCATAAATTAAAATAATATTATAATAAAAGGATATCGGCACACAATATTTCGATTTATTTTTGACCTACGCACTGCAAGATGCAACAGCAAAGTCGCGTTCAGCTGAACTAACTTAATTGTTAACACTAATATACAAAAATGAATTAACCTACTTTCAAACTTGAGTTTTATAATACTATATCTATATTTTTACGTTGTATTTTACAAAATTTTAATTGTATATAGTCATAAATAAAAGATAATTTTTAAATTGTAATATTTTACATGTTCTTATTTTCATAAAAATATTAAATTGTAAGAACTAAAATAGCCAATATGTCGCTCAAAAAATTTTGAATTTAAATCTTGATAATTTAATGACTGAGTACATTATTATTATATTTTTATGATATAAGTCATAATTCATCATTTATATTTTATGAATTTTTTATCTATTGTAGTCTACAAAAGTAAATATTTTTTCTGGTTTAATAATGAACACATAAATTTAATATAATCCATTTAAGTTATATTTTAAAATGTATTATTTTTTTTTTTATGGGACCTTTGCTTAATTATTATATTTTAATAAATACCATTATACTTAGCATCTGCAATCAAAGTTTGTTATAATTACTTAGGCACGTTTAATGTTTAGTTGAAAATATCTTTATGGCTGCGAAACCTACACAAAAAAAGAAATTTGATACTTAACAAAATATATCAAATACCTATATTTTATACAATATTAAAATATATCATACATATATAGTGTATATTATGTATTTTAGAAATGCCTATAAAATCTAAAAATGACAATAATTGTGACTAATACGTATATTGTAGTTTGTAACAGTTTATTGTAGTAATAAACATAATATTAAACAATACTGTTGGTTTTGTACGTATTTAAAAAAATAAAATTTATCCAACTTAGAAAATTAATCTAAAACTTAAAATAGACCTATGAAATTTTATAATTTAATCGATTTAACATTTTTGAAAAACAATAATATGCAGAATTGCAAAAAGTGATGAAAAGTTGGTAACTGTACGGTAATTGTTAAATGTACCTACTTCGTGCTTGAGTAAGTCAGTGTAATATATTTAACTTTAATTCAATTATATAAATCATTATAAACCTAACTATAGATTGGAACAATTTTTTTCGAAAACATTACATTTTAAAATGTTATTATGCGATGTATAAAATATAATTATGTATTAATGAATACGTTAAAATTTTCAATTACTATTTTTTTTTTATTATTAAAATATGACTTGCGCGAACAATTTACAATCTGTTATTTAAGACAATAAGTAATAGTTAATAAAATGTTTTTATCATAATAAGCACATGAATATTTTTTTTTTTTTTTACTTTGAAATTTTTTTAATAAAGCAAATCTCTGGACCAACTAAACCAATATCGCTTTAGACGACGTTTAACATTACCAGAAAGAGATGAGAAGGACATGTTACTGATAAGTGGATTTAGGTGACTTATTAATTTAACGTGAAAACGTTTATATACTGATTTTTAGCAAGTTCGTTATTGACGGTGGATATTTTAATAGGTCTTTGTAAAGTAATTCATTGGTAATAAACCATGGAGCTCCGGTTATTATTGTAAGGGTAACAGATTGGAAGGCTTGGATAGGACGTTAATTAGATGGCTTTACAGGACCCCAAATCTGTATTCCATATGACCAAGTTGGTCTAATTATGGCTTTATATATAAGAGTCAATTACTTACAAATATTTTTATATTCCAACAAATTAATTAAAATCTTACTACCTATCTATTATTTTTTGTATTAATATTTTGTATTCTTTTGTACAAATTTTGACTCATCATTTCTATAAAAAACACTGTGCCTATATATTTTTAGATCGGTTATAATATGAACTACTTATGAAGAACTATATATTAAATGTTTAATTATTAATTTTTAAATAGCTATATTAACAACTTATTAGGAATCTTGAATTACATTTTTTACTTATACAATTGTTTATCAAAAATTATTTTATAGAAAAGTATTTAAAAAAAAAAAATAAAAATACTTGTAATTAGCTCAAAAAAAGATAAAATATTTAAAAAAATATATACCATGTGTATGTAACATTGAATAAAAATTTCAAAATTGTATGTATAAATCAGCTTATGATATTTTATAGAGATTGTAAAAAATCTATAAACATCCTTTGAGTTTCTAAAGGACTTTATTGATATTTCTTAAAAACGTCTAGTAGTTTTTGAATATATAGGTAGCAGATAAATAATGAAACATTTATTTATATAAAATTTGAATTATATAAATATTATTTTACAAACGCGTATATATTATGTTACCGATTATTAGGTTTCGAAATAATAATTTACTCGATCCACGACCTCGAAACGCGCGAGACCTTGTGGGTTATGATTATCATGGACTTGACTCATACTTGGCACACGCATAATATTATATAGCATATAGGTATATTATATACGTACAATATATTCACGGATTGATTGGGGATCAGACTTACGTACTATCGCGTAATCCATATTCCATTATTGTACATGTCGATAACCGATTATTATTTCTTTCAATAACAAAGTGGAAAAGTAATAGAGCTAGGATTTTGATAACTTGCATTTTTTTTCTTTAAATGCTATACAATTCTAACCAAAAACTAATTTGTTTCATTATATACTTAACAATTTAGAATGTGTAATTTTTATTTTGCATTTTTTAGGTCATTTTTACAATTATTACGTAAATTATGTGTATTTAAAATACTAAACTCATTTTTGTTTATTTTAAGCTTGTTGTGTGTGTTGTATAGGTAATCCCAATTATCTACTCGAGTCCATTGCTATTGAAAAAGTACTATAATTAATTGTCGATTTATCCGATAAGATTAAATATCAAACGAACCAATTACTATACAGGAATACAAAAGAAGCTTTAGTAATAAATACGACTCATACCTAAGTGATTCTATACCGATTTTAAAGATATTATACTTTAAAAATCTTAAAAATGCTAAAAACTAAGTCAACAATAAGAAGCCATATAGTTTTTGTGTGAGTTTGGTGCCGATATAAATTTTTACCTATTTTGTGTAATTTAAAAAATGAATAAATAGAAATTAATAATTATTTTAAAATTTAATTTTTTTTTGTTCATCTAAGTATATTTTTTGGTCATTTATTAAGCTCATTTTTGCATTTTTTTTAGTGCACTTTAGTGTATTATTTAGGTCATTAAAATCCTAGCTCTAGTTTAATAAATAATATTTAATATTTATATATTTGTCAACATCCGACTGATGGACACGTGCAACTATGACAGCGATTACAACCGAAAATCTGTGTGACGGATTAATATATTCGTCATCTGGTCTATGGTTTTATTCTACTATATTATATTGTAATTTATATTATCATAATTTATAGTGTTACACTGTATTGATATCATTATCATATTATGATAATATTTTATACACGTTATATATAAAAATATAATATGCGTAATGCGTTTAATATTATGTCAATAAGTGTATAGGATACTTAAATATGTAGGTTGATATTAATCTTCGTTACATTATAACACTTAT